ACAGGATACACTCCTATGCTCAGGCGTTTGCTGTCGGGGATCTCGTAAAAGACCCGGCCGCTGCTGTTGGTCAGCTCTGTGCTGAAGTACACCCACTCACCTGACGGCGGCTGCGTCATGATGTGCACGTCCACCTGCGCACACACACACACACACACAAACATGAACACACATTTGATGAACACACACTAGAGAAACCCATGAGGCACGCTATGTTAGGAATAAAATATTTACAGAATGACTGCGCGAATCACTGGAGGTACACAGTCTGCATGTTTTCTGTGTGTTGTTTGCATATATTCTGCATCCAGTGAGCATGTTTTTTGTGTTTTCTCTTTCTTCTGCATGTTTTCTGTGTTATCTGCATGTTTTCTGTGTTCTCTGCATGTTTTTTGTGTGTTCTGTGCATGTTTTTTGTGTGTTCTCTGCATGTTTTCTGTGTGTTCTCTGCATGTTTTCTGTGTGTTCTCTGGATGTTTTCTGTGTTCTCTGCATGTTTTCTCTGTGTTCTCTGCATGTTTTCTGTGTGTTCTCTGCATGTTTTCTGTGTGTTCTCTGCATGTTTTCTGTGTGTTCTCTGCATGTTTTCTGTGTGTTCTCTGCATGTTTTTTGTGTGTTCTGTGCATGTTTTTTGTGTGTTCTCTGCATGTTTTCTGTGTGTTCTCTGCATGTTTTCTGTGTGTTCTCTGCATGTTTTCTGTGTGTTCTCTGGATGTTTTCTGTGTTCTCTGCATGTTTTCTGTGTGTTCTCTGCATGTTTTCTGTGTGTTCTCTGCAGGTTTTCTGTGTTATCTGCATGTTTGCATGTTTTCTGTGTGTTCTCTGCATGTTTTCTGTGTGTTCTCTGCAGGTTTTCTGTGTTATCTGCATGTTTTCTGTGTGTTATCTGCATGTTTTCTGTGTGTTATCTGCATGTTTTCTGTGTGTTATCTGCATGTTTTCTGTGTGTTATCTGTATGTTTTCTGTGTGTTCTCTGCATGTTTTCTGCGTGTTCTCTGCATGTTTTCTGTGTGTTCTCTGCATGTTTTCTGTGTGTTCTCTGCAGGTTTTCTGTGTTATCTGCATGTTTTCTGTGTGTTATCTGCATGTTTTCTGGGTGTTATCTGCATGTTTTCTGTGTGTTATCTGCATGTTTTCTGTGTGTTATCTGTATGTTTTCTGTGTGTTCTCTGCATGTTTTCTGTGTGTTATCTGCATGTTTTCTGTGTGTTCTCTGCATGTTTTCTGTGTTTTCTGCGTGTTCTCTGGATGTTTTTTGTGTGTTATCTGCATGTTTTCTGTGTGTTCTCTGCATGTTTTCTGTGTTTTCTGCGTGTTCTCTGGATGTTTTCTGTGTGTTCTCTGCATGTTTTCTGTGTGTTCTCTGCATGTTTTCTGTGTGTTCTCTGCATGTTTTCTGTGTGTTCTCTGCATGTTTTCTGTGTGTTCTCTGCATGTTTTCTGTGTTTTCTGCGTGTTCTCTGGATGTTTTTTGTGTGTTATCTGCATGTTTTCTGTGTGTTCTCTGCATGTTTTCTGTGTGTTATCTGCATGTTTTCTGTGTGTTCTCTGCATGTTTTCTGTGTGTTCTCTGCAGGTTTTCTGTGTTATCTGCATGTTTTCTGTGTGTTCTCTGCATGTTTTCTGTGTTTTCTGTGTTCTCTGCATGTTTTCTGTGTGTTCTCTGCATGTTTTCTGTGTGTTCTCTGCAGGTTTTGTGTGTTATCTGCATGTTTGCATGTTTTCTGTGTGTTCTCTGCATGTTTTCTGTGTGCTATCTGCATGTTTTCTGTGTGCTATCTGCATGTTTCTTTGTTATCTGCATGTTTTCTGTGTGTTCTCTGCAGGTTTTCTGTGTTATCTGCATGTTTTCTGTGTGTTATCTGCATGTTTTCTGTGTGTTATCTGCATGTTTTCTGTGTGTTATCTGCATGTTTTCTGTGTGTTATCTGTATGTTTTCTGTGTGTTCTCTGCATGTTTTCTGTGTGTTATCTGCATGTTTTCTGTGTGTTATCTGCATGTTTTCTGTGTGTTATCTGTATGTTTTCTGTGTGTTCTCTGCATGTTTTCTCTGTGTTATCTGCATGTTTTCTGTGTTATCTGCATGTTTTCTGTGTGTTCTCTGGATGTTTTCTGTGTGTTCTCTGCATGTTTTCTGTGTGTTATCTGCATGTTTTCTGTGTGTTCTCTGCATGTTTTCTGTGTGTTATATGCATGATTTCTGTGTGTTCTGCATCTGACACAAAAAACATGTCGTCTGCATGTTTCTGTGTCGTCTGCATTTTTTTGTGTCGTCTGCTTGTTTGTGTGTTGTCTGCATGTGTGTATGTCGTCTGCATGTTTTTTGTGTCGTCTGCATGTTTGTGTGTCGTCTGCATGTTTGTGTGTCGTCTGCATGATTGTGTGTCGTCTGCATGTTTGTGTGTCGTCTGCATGTTTGTGTGTCTCGTCTGCATGATTGTGTGTCGTCTGCATGTTTGTGTGTCGTCTGCATGTTTGTGTGTCGTCTGCATGTTTGTGTGTCGTCTGCATGTTTTTTGTGTCGTCTGCATGTTTGTGTGTCGTCTGCATGATTGTGTCTCGTCTGCATGTTTGTGTGTCGTCTGCATGTTTGTGTGTCGTCTGCATGTTTGTGTGTCGTCTGCATGTTTGTGTGTCGTCTGCATGTTTTTTGTGTCGTCTGCATGTTTGTGTGTCGTCTGCATGATTGTGTCTCGTCTGCATGTTTGTGTGTCGTCTGCATGTTTGTGTGTCGTCTGCATGTTTGTGTGTCGTCTGCATGTTTGTGTGTCGTCTGCATGTTTGTGTGTCGTCTGCATGTTTGTGTGTCGTCTGCATGTTTGTGTGTCGTCTGCATGTTTGTGTGTCGTCTGCATGTTTGTGTGTCGTCTGCATGTTTGTGTGTCGTCTGCATGTTTGTGTGTCGTCTGCATGTTTGTGTGTCGTCTGCATGTTTGTGTGTCGTCTGCATGTTTGTGTGTCGTCTGCATGTTTGTGTGTCGTCTGCATGTTTGTGTGTCGTCTGCATGTTTGTGTGTCGTCTGCATGTTTGTGTGTCGTCTGCATGTTTGTGTGTCGTCTGCATGTTTGTGTGTCGTCTGCATGATTGTGTGTCGTCTGCATGATTGTGTGTCGTCTGCATGTTTGTGTCTCGTCTGCATGTTTGTGTCTCGTCTGCAAGATTGTGTGTCGTCTGCATGATTGTGTGTCGTCTGCATGTTTGTGTGTTTCCTGCATGCCATTCTGTGTGTTTTTTCTGACCTTCTCTCCGGTCAGCGTGACCATGTCCAGCGGGCCGTACATGAAGCGTCCCGTGACCACCTGATTTCCGTCCTCTGTGAACACAGCATCATTGACACGATGGTTCGCCGTCACATTCTGCAACACACACACACACACAATGTGAGCTTCAATCCCACAATGCATCTGTTAGCGGAGCAGCAGTGTGGCTCACCCTGATCTTCACATGCGTCCTCTTCCTTATCCACTTCTCTCGCGGTTTGGACGGAGTGAACTCTGACACCTCCTTCCCATCCAGCTCCAGGATGCTGGAGTTCTCATGTCTCATCACCTGCACACACACACACACACACACATACACACACACACACACACACACACTTTCTAGTTGTAGATACTGTGAATAATGTGCCTGTATGATTGAAGCAATGGGGGACTATGTGAAATGAATCTGCACAGGAGTGAGCGGTGCTGAATAAAGCCTTGTTCACACTACAGGAATTTAAGCCTGATTTGAACCCGATCTGGAAGTTAACGAGCTCACAGACAGATCAGGCTGTTGGTGCTCGGCAGTCTTTATGTGTGAACTACTGAGCAAGGCATCAAAGAGGCTCGCTGAAGTGTCGCCGACACCTCACAGATGGAAATCCAATATCTAGCATGCTGAAAATTCCAGAGCAGACGGCCGACTCGAGCCTACGTGCGGTCACATGTAGTGATGAGCTGCAGCCAATGAGAGAGCATATCAGCATGAGCTGATTGGCTGTGTGCTCAAGAGCTCAACAGGAACGTCTGTGATTGGCCAGAATAGGTATCAATGCACTCGCTTCATTCTGGGTTAACACAAGAGTAGGCTATAATACCAGAGGAGCTAGAGTTCTGCAACTCTTAGAGTCACCGTCCTGCTTATTCTGAGCGTTCTCATACAAGACGTCATGTTCTGTGCATCAGCTGACTGACCGAGTTCAAACGCTCCCTTGAAAGCTTGACACTGTCAGTGATGTCATCAGCACACCAGCAGCCAATAGTGTTCAGCTTTCTCT